ATTAATTTAGAGAGATTATTTAACTCTATAACCTTCGAAAACGTTTGAACCAATTTAAGTTTTCTAATCAACAACATACTTAAAACTAGGTTAAATTGTAAAGAAAGGAGTAGAAATATTTAATTATTTTATAAATTTTTAAGCTTTTAAGGCATCATTTACCTTTTTTAATACATCATTATTTAAAGCCAAAGATTTAGCAGCATTAAGATGTAAAGTTTCGTGAGAAAAAACAATTATGAATTAAGTAGCTTTTATTTTTAAATTGGCAGATCCTTATACATAAACAGGGTCAGGTGTATAGAATCTCCATTATTCACATTGGCAAGGATTTGCTAATAATAAAGCCTTTTTTTCATCATTATCATCGGCAAAAGAAGATATTAGGATTATTGATAGTATTAAAAATAAAGTTTTTTACATTTTTTTTAATTTTTTATTTTTGTTTTATTTTTTATTATTATTTTATTTTTTTCGTGTTTTTTTTTTTTTTTTTATAGAAGGTAATTTATCTATATTTTAATTTTCGGTTATTTTTACTTAATATATTTTAATTTATATATTTTTTTTTTGTATTTTTATTAAATCAAAATTATAAATTAATTTAAGAGTTTTTTTTATAAAAGTATATTTTTTATATTATTTTATAATTTTATATGTAAATATTTAAATAAATATTAATCAATTAAAAAAAATACTTTTAAAATATTTATAAAATCAAAAAATTTATATATATATATAAATGAATATAACGTAAAATAAAATTAAAATTTGTTCGTTTCTATTATACAAATAAAATAAAAAATATAGAAAATAAAATAATAAAAATATCTTTTTAAAAATTATTAATTTAAATATAAATGGAGATACTTTTGATTGAATAATAAATAAAATTCAAATATTTATAATTATATTTTTTTAACAGATTATAAATTGAAAAAGTTAACAAAATAAAATAAACAGCATAAATATCATTTTTTATAAAAAAAGATAAAGAATTTAAATTTATAATTTTTTATTCAATTTAAAAATACGGAATTTAATTTAAAAATAAATAGATGAAGTTTTTTTAAATAAAAGAATAGGTTAAATTTATAAAAAATAGAAAAATTATAATTAAAAAATAGAGAAAATTTATAGAAAATAAAAACTGAAAATTAAAATTATAATTATAATATTAAAAAAAAAAGTGAAATTTTATCAAAAAAAAAAAAAAAAAGACTAAAATATTAAATTGTCAAAAAAAAAATATATATAAAATAATATATTTAATTAAAATTAATATAAAATAAAAAGAAAATGGCCAAAAAATATTTATTAGTAATATTTTTATTAGCTTTAGTTTTTACATAAACAGCTAATAACTAAAAATAAGAAAATACATAAAATAATACAACTAATTAACTAAATAATAAGTCTATATAACCAAATAATACTTCTGACTAACCAAATGATACTTCTGGTTAACCAAATAATTCATCTTAATAACTTAATAATACTTTTGAATAAAAAAACAATGATTAAAACAAACAAAATGATAGTTTAAATTAATCAAATAGTAACTTTTATTGTCCATTTAATAATAATACAGGATAATGTTAATGTGAAAAGCTTTCATATCTATAAGCTTAACTTTTTCCTATATAAGGATAAGCATCTGTCTATTTAAATTAAAACCAATTTGAAGTATAATTTTCTTTAGTAACTTTAAATAAAAATATTATAGAATCTTTAAAGTAAAATAATTTAATAATAAATGATGTTTAAAAAGCTTTAAAAAAATTTGTTGGTTTAACTGTTTCAACAGGTGGCTTATCTATATAATCTATTTAAAAAGATTAAATATTTTAAGGATATTAAGTCATAAATACCATTAAAGTTATTTCTTCTTTAATTAAATTTGCTGGATAAGTTATTGATATTGCAATTTTTAATGGTATGTAAACTGTCGATTATATTAATTTCTTCGTAAGTCCTAGCACTGTTAATAATACAAGAAAAAATCTTATAGTAAAAGCAGTTTAAGATGCTTAAAATAAAGCCAAGTTGGCTCTAACAAATATAGGTTATAACATTGCAGGTGTTAAATCAGTATAATTATTGGAAAACTAAAATAGATTTTAATAAAAATATTAATAAAAAACTGAACTTTATCCATCGACTACACTTGTTGTATTAGATGTAGCAGTAGGCTTTATTATTGAAAAAAAATGAAACGAAATTTTGTATTTCTATAAATAAATAAAAAATTATATTTTTAATCTGTATTATATAAGTTGACATTTTTTTTTTTCAATTTATATAATATTATTATTATATATAAAATATTTATAAAATTCTATTATTTTATATTTATGATTTATATATAAAATTTCAACTATAATAATAAATAAATATAATTAATATTCTATAAATTTATGAAAGTGTTTGTTTAATATATTTATAATTTTTAATTAATTAAAATATATAAATGTCTATATAATAATAATTTATAATTATTTTAATGTAATATGATTAACTTGTAAATTTAAAAATATTTAATTAAATAGTAATAAGTAAAAAAAAAATACGTAAATGGAAAACTAAAATAATTTAAATTATAAAAATATATAGAATATTTTAAATATTTTAAAAATAGTTATACAATTAAATAATATAGAGAAAAATTTAACAATAGTAAAATAAATAAAATAAATAAAAAAAATAAATATAAATAAATATATATATATATATATATATATATATATATATATATAAATTATAATTTATTTTTATCATAAAATTTAATTTTGCATAAACATTATATTATTGTATAAATAAAAATGAATTTTCTTATATTATTTTTTCTTTAAATTTTAATAATACTTTTATTATCCTAAGAATATCGAATAAATTTCTTTACTTAAAACATAGACCATTTTTCTTTCTCATAGAATTTAACTTTTTTCCAAAAATATCTTATAAACGATTAAAACTATTCCTACAATAAAAAAGGTCCAATTATATTTTATTGCGGTAATGAAGGTCCTATCGAAATGTTTTATAAAAATACCGGTTTTGTAACTTAGATTCTTTCTAAAGAGTTAAAAGCCTTAGTATTATACATGGAGCATCGTTATTTTGGAGAATCATAGCCTTTTGGTGACGAAAAAACATCACTTTAAAAAGGAAATAATTAATATTTAACTTCAATATAAGCTTTGAGTGACTATGTAGAATTCCTTATATATATAAAAAAGTCCCTCTAATGTTAAGAAAAAGAATGTCCAATAATCGCTGTTGGAGGTTCTTATGGAGGCATGCTTGCAGCCTGGATTAGAATGAAATTTCCAAATTTAGTTGATGCATCTTTGGCTGCTTCAGCTCCTATTTTTTAATTTTTGAACCGTGAAAATCTAGATTAGACGAAATATTTTTAGATTATAACTAATAATTATCCTTGTAGAGACAAAATAAAAACTGCCTATTAAATATTGCAGAATTTATTAAATGAAAAGAACAAAATTTTGGAGTAAAATAATATTTTTTAATAAATTTCATAAGCAATGGGGCTGTGTTAGCCTTTGAAAAACAACACTGATGTCTTAAACTTAAGAAATTATATGGATAATGCCTATTCTTATATGGCTATGACTAATTATCCTTAAGAAACTACTTTTTTGAAGCATTTACCGCCTTGGCCAGCTAATTTTTCGTGTATATTTTTCCAAAATATTACTTAATAGTCATCAGTATTTGATTTATTTTCAGCTGTTAGGAATTCTACACGGACTCTTTATGATTTCGATTAAAAAAATAATTGCGCAGATATATCTTAAGCCGATTAAACAGTATCAGATGATAATATGGAAGGATGGGACATTTTATCCTGCGCAGATATGGTTTTGCCGATGTTTTCGAATGGAAAAACAGATATGTTTTATAACTCAACTTGGGATTTAGAAACTTACAAATAAAACTGTAGAAAAGCTTATGGTGTTTCCCCGAATCCAAATTGGGCGCTTAATTTTTACGGAGGAAGAAATGATCAAGAAATGAAAGGATTTTCTAATATTTTCTTTTCAAATGGAATGCTTGATCCATGGAGTGGAGGATCTCCTACTTAGTTTATAAATGAAAATTTACCTGTATTTTATATGGAACAAGCTGCTCATCATAATGATTTAAGATTACCGGCTTAAGGAGATCCTTAAAGTGTGATTTAAGGAAGAAAATTAGAGATTTTTTATATTAAAAAATGGATTAGATTTTATGAAAATAATAATAATTAAAGTTTTGAGGAAAATTGAAATTTATTATTTATATATTTATATATATATATATATTTAATTTATATACTATAGATATTTTTATATTTAATAAATAAATATTTTTCTATTATTATATTTTTTAGAATATATTTTATTTTATTTTAATATTTTTTTTTTTTTTTTTATAATATTAATATTTAATTTAGATTTTTTTAAATATATTAAATTTACTCAAAAAAATTTAATATTATTAGTGACATTAATTTTGATAATAAATATTATAAACATTTTTTTTTAATTTATCTTATACAATATATTATTTATATATATTAAATACAATTTAATTAAAATATTTTTTTATATATACAATATTTATTATTTTTTAATAAATAATTTTATAATGATAATAGATAATTATTAAAATTCATTATATTTATTTATATGCAACATTATATTATATAAATATAATATAACATTAAAAATAAATAATAATAAAATTTTATATTTATTTATTATTTTTTAAACTTTAATTATTAATTTTGTATATTATTTAATAATTAAAAAAAATAAAATCATTATTATAAATTTATATAGAAAATTTAAAGTATAAAATTATCTTTCTATAAAAATAAAGTCAAGTTAAGTAATATTTAAAATAAAATTTAATAATAATTATGAAAAATATATTATCTAATATATGTTTAAATATTAAAAAATATTTTAGTATTTATAAAATTAGATTAATATATATAAAATATAAACTTTTCAAAATTATATCTAAAATTTATTATATATAATAATATATTTAATTAATTTTATAAACAAAAATTAATTAACTTATAATTTATAAATGGTTTTTTTATAAAAATATATAATTTTCTTTTACAATTAATCTATATATAATTTTACTTTGTAAAAAATAAAATTTTAGTTTTTATTTCTTTAAAATTCTAAAAAAATATAAATTGTTATAAATAAAAATATATATATTTATAACTTTCTTTAAAATAATATAATATTATAAAAAAAATAAAAAAAAAAATATTTTATTAAAATAAAAACATTAAAGATATTTTTTTTATAAATAAATTAAATTAATTTTTTTTAATAATATAAATTTAAAATATATTTATATTTATTTATTTATTAATAAATAAAAATTAAATTAAAATAATAATATATTTTTATATAAAAGATGTTAGTCAATAAATTAAAATTAAACTAAATTGTAATTTAAATTAAATTTATTAAATAATTATATAATATTATATTTTTTTTATATTGTTAATATATAAGTTTGTATTGAAAATAATTCAAAAAGTTTATTTTTTTATTCTTAATTAAATAAAAACTATAATATTAATATAATAGTTAAAAAAAAATTATATATATATATTTAATATTTAATTTATAATAGTTATTTACATATCTAATTTTTTAAAAAAATCAATTTTTAATTTAATTCAATAATATTTTAATTAATTCTTTATTTTTTTTTATATGAAATATATGAGTTTTTTTTTAAGAATCTTTCTAATTTAATTATTTCTTTAATATAAGTTATTCACTTTATAGTTTTTAACTAAACAATTTTTTAGTATTATTTCAAATTTAACTAGTAATAATTATAATAAAGATATAGATATATATCTAAATATATATATATATATATATATATATTGATATATATATTGATATATATATTGATATATATTGATATATATATTGATATATACTTTATATATATTATTTATATATTGATTTTTTTTTAATATGCTTTGACAGATGTTTTATAGTTTATTTTATCTTTAATTTAATATGTTAATTAATGTAGTTCTTTAAATTTATATTTTAAATAAATAGAAATTTTATACTTTATAATTTTACAATTATTATTTTTAAATTCTTAGAGTTTAATATTTAAAAATATATTAAAATAATATTATAATAAAATTCATAAAAAATAAATATGTTTATTAAATATTTGTTAATTATTTGTATTAAATATTATTAATTTATAATCCTTATATTAAAATTTACATTAATTTAAATGAATAAATTTAAAAAAATATAGATAATATTATATTTAAAATATGAAAAACAAATAAATATATTATTTGTTTTAATTTATTTAATTAATAATCATTATATTAATAATATATAAAAACAAAATAATATAATACATTTTGGAATGGTTTTCATAATTTTTATTTTATTTATTTATTTTTATGTAAAAAATTACTTATATACTTATATATATAAATTATCTAAATTAATTAATTTAGAATGAATTATTATAAAACTAAAAGTACACTAAGTTAAAAAATAAAAAAGATAGTCATTTGTCAACAAAAATATATATTATTTTAATTAGAAATATAAAAAACTAAGTAATAATATATATAAATATAATTGTTTATATCAAATTATTTTATTTCTAAAATTTTAATATGAAAATTTTTTTTTATATTTTTTAAAAATATGATTTTTAAAATACAAATCATAAAATTAAATTTTTATTTTAGCAAACTAATTTCAATATATTCAAAAAAAATATATAATTCATAAAATAAACTCAATATTATTAGTTATTCAGTTTTTATTATTTTTATATTCCGTATTAATCATAATCTTATTAAATCTATAAATATTATTTAAAAATAAAAATAAAAATAAAATATAAATATATATATATATATAAATATATATATATATGTTTATATATTTAAATTTATATATTTATTTTTATTACATTATTATTATTATTATTAATTATTTATTATTATCCCATTCCTTGATTTTATTATGTACATTTACTTGGTGATTTAGGCCTTAACTATTCTATTTCCGGTGTTGTTCCAACATATCTTCCTCCTTTAAAATTCTGCACTTACGGATAAAAAACATCTCCTTCAAACCATGAATTATACTCATCTATATTAAAATTGCTTTCATCCAATAGGTTTCCAATTGTTAGCCATCCTTATCTAATATTATGTATTTCTCCAAATAATTCTAACCTTTTCCTTCCTAAGCAAAACCTTTCAATAATATCATAAAGTTCTTATGGTTTTTATGTACTCCCTAAAGGTGGTTCTTCACTTACAATAACATCTGTATCTATATTCGCATGTATAAAATGTGAATCTGATGCCCTTTTAACATCTCCTCTTAATCCCACGAGACAATGTTCCTTTACTCTCATTAATATGTTTGAATGACATGTATCAGTATTTTCCTTAGTTTTATCTTTATTAGTTTTCACCCAAACTATATCCTCGCATCTTTTATAACCCCATTTTTTAAATAACTCTCTTCCCTGATCTAAATGGTCAGAACCCACCCAAAGGAAAAGAAAACTTGGTTTTTCAGAAATTTCGTCTATTGGTAAAGACGCTATTTCATTTAAATCCCAAGATGAAAATTTTTCGGGTTATTGGCTATATATAGGAAGTCCTAATACTCTTTCTTCATATTCTTTCCATGGAGGATCGATTATTATAACATCGAATTTCCCGAGTTTTGTTAAATCGAATGTTCGGAGATCTTCCTTTAAATATACAGGCGGGTGATTTCTCTTTATTATTAATTCGTCTTTATATTTTATAAGGTCTTGTAACTTTGGATATTCTATTTTTTGTTTTTATATTTTTATAAAGGATTGCTTTTTTACCTATAAAACGCTCTTCCGGCCTAATATTCATAATAAAATTTTATGGACGTTCGTGTGTATTTACAAAATTTTAACAATAATCATTTCTTTTGGATGGAATACGTGGTTTTTACGACATTAAATATTAATTTATATATCTTATTTTAATATATTATAAATATATTAAAAATAAATTAATAAATATAATAAAATATATATATAATAAACATTTTATAAAATATTTTTTTTAAAATATATAATATACTTTCTATTTTTTTTTTAATTAAAATAACATAATTTATTTATTATTTTTAATAAAAAAAAAATACAAATATTAATTTATTTCTTTTTATATATAAAAAAATATAGCAATATTTAAGTTTTTTATATTTTTTTTAAAAAAGTAAGTTTATTAAATATAAAAAGGAAAAAATATAGAAAATTTATTATAAAATAAATAAATTATATATAAAAAAGATATAATAGAGAAAAATAATTAAAATTATTAAATTTTTAAATTTAAAATTATATAAAAATATAATTAAAAATAAAAATAAATAATTATACATTATACTTATCTTTTAAAATAAAATATATATGTAAAAAGTAAAAAATTTCTATAAATTTATTTATTTTAATTCGCTTTATTGCTGCCTATATAACTTTATGCGACAAATTATTTACAAGAAAATGCTTTATTCAAAAAGTTAAAATTTAAAAATCATAAAGTTTTTACTAATATGTAGATACTTCATACCAAGATAAATATGTAAAATACAAAGGAGTTAATTACAGAAAGAAAGACTTTATTTACTGTATAAATGCAATTTAGTGAATTAAAGGAATATTTATTTTATGGTAAATGTGAAGCTAGTGAATATTTACCAACTTTTTATTAATAAAATAAATAATGTTTTAGATTTCAAAAAGAAAAATTATTATTTTTCATTTTTTTATTATAAAAATTATTAATTGAAAACAATAAAATAAATAATAATATTATTAAAAATATTTTATAAAAAATAAAAATTTTTAAAAAAGTAAGAACAATAAAATATTTTATATTTATTTGTTAAAAAATCGATATAAATCACTATTTTTTTTTTAATAAAATACTTAAATTAATGAAAGCCTTTAATTTTTAGAATTAAAGAAAAAAAGAAAAGAAAATATATTAATGGTTAAAAGACTTTTATCAAATCAAATAATAAAAAGTAATTTATTATTATTGAGAAAATTACTTAATGTATTTTTTAAATAAAGAGCTTTAATAAATAAATATATTTTATTATATAATAAGTAAATAAAATTATAATTTTAAAGTAAAATTATTTAAAAAAATACTTTTTAAATAGATATAGTTAAATACTATATATTTGTTAAAGATAAAATAACATGTTTAAATGTTAAAATGAGATAAGTTCTTTTTTTAAAAAATATTAAAAACATAATTTTTTACTTATTTATAAAATAAACTTTTTTACTTAAATAAAAAAAAACACCATAAAATTTTATAATAATAATAAAAAAAAGAAAATAGAACACATATAAAAAATTAACATATAATTTTTTATATTATTAAAAATTATCACAATTTTTTTTTTTTTTCTTAAAAGATATTTTTTTTAATATTTTCAAATAATAAATAGATTTTTTTAAAAATAAAATATAATTATTTTAAAATAAACATTCAAATAGATGTAAAAGCCTTAGTAAATGCCGGAAGAATAGCTTTTCTTCCATGCCAAACACCTTTTGGGACTAAATTCCAATAAGCCCATGGGAAGAAGTCTTTTTTTAATTTATAAAAGAATTAAGAAGGAATTTCCTAGTGAGCCATAAACGTTTCATTAGCTATATACCCATATTTATATTCAATAAGCATAAGTTTTCCATTTCCAACAAAAATAGGGCAACAAGTATATCCATCATAATTAGAAGGAAGTTATTAATCTCCTTTTCCACTCAATACATGATATAAATTATCTACAACTACAGGTGTTTGACTAAATATTGCCGCCATAGTTTTAGAAGTAGGAATATTTGAACAATCACCTTTATATGAATAAATAAATAAATAAATATATAAATAAATAAATTTACCTATTCCCCAAATATTTTTATATTTTTTATGTCTCAAAGTATATTCGTCGATATCTAAATAACCTTATTAATCAACAATTTAAGGTGAGTCTTATAAAAACTTCGGTAATTTTGGTGGTGGGACAATATGTATTAGATCAAAGTCAATTTCTTAAATTTCCCCAGTTTTCATATTTTAGAAAGTGGCTTTTCTGTTATTTTTATTAACTTCAATTAAATTCGAGCTTTTATAAACATTAATATTTTTTTATTTTTATATTTTTTCCAAAGCCTCAGCATATTTTGGTTAAGGAAATGCATAATCAACAGCTTTCTCTTAATTCTACAGTAGTTTTCTCTCTTATTCCTTTTTTATCAAATCTATCTTCTGCCAAATAAATAATCTTATTAGGAACCCCAGATTATTCCTTAGATCTATAAGGCTCAGTGAATATAGCTTTTCCGCCTCCGAAATCTCCACACAATTCATTGAATTTTAGCACATAATTATAATCATAAATAGAACCTGCAGGACACTCAGGATCATCTAAAGCTTCTTTAGCGCCTTTAATTTTATCAAAGTCATTCAGTAAACCTGATGTGATTATTAAATGATCATATGTATACTCACCTCCATCTTCAGTTTAAAGTTTATTTTCTTCAGGAAGAACTTTCACTACAGCCAAGTTTGTGAAGTTTATTTGTTTTGGATATAAATCTTCGTTTTTGCGAACTGTGTCCTTTATTTCATATATTCCTCCACCAACCATTGTCCATGCAGGCTTATAATAATGAAGTTTAGAAGGTTCAAAAACTCTTATTTAGTGTTAGTTTATACCTTTTTCTCTTATTATTTATGAAACGAAGCTTAAGCTTGCACATCCTCCACCCAAAACAGCTATTTGGGTATGTATTGGGCTTTTATTTGTAAATTTTTTGTATATTATTTATGAGAGCATTTTTTTTTTTAATTATTAATTAGTGTTTTTATTTTTTTTTAAAAAAAATAAAATATTAATATTTATTTTTTTCTTTTATCTTTTTATGTTATTTACGTATTATTTTTATTAGTTATTACTTAAATTATATATGTAATAAAAAGTAAATATACTTAACTTTATGTATATAGGAAAAAAATATAAAATTAAAGGAAGATTTTCTTTGAAATCAATAATAAAATGAAAATCTTAGAAAATAATAATAGATATTTATTATTAAATTTTTTTTAAAAAAAAATTATATTATAAAATATAACTATTTATTTTATGTTTTAATTAATCTTAATATTTATTTAACAAGAAAAAAGCATTTATTGGATAACTTAAAAATTAACTAAAATCAATATTTAGAATTAAAAAAAATATAATTTTTATAAATCTAATATAATTTATTTTTAAAGGTTTTTTATATATATTATTCCAGATTATATGATTAGACAATAATAATTAATTTTAAAAATTTCATTTAAGAAAAAATAAATTAATTTTTGTAAAAAAAATAAAATATTAAAAATAAAATAAAAATTTGTTAGCGTTTTTAAAAATATTGAAAAATCATTTAAATAAATATAAATAATATAAATTAATTATATATAAAAGTTTATTAATTAAATTTATTTTAATATAAATAACAAATATTAATCTTGTTTATTAAACTAATAAATTAGTATTTTAAAAATTAAATATAAATACAAATAAATATAAAAATTTTTAATTATAATAAAATATAAAAATATATATTATGTAATTATATATCAAATTAAAAAATATAAATATATGAAATAATATATATTTTAATTTATAAATTTTACATATTTATATAAAAAGAAAAATTACATATAACCTTAATTTTTCATAAAATTAATTTTTATTATTTTATAATTATATTTTAAAATAAATTAGAGAAAAAATAAAAAAATATATAATCAAGCCTTATTCATTAGAAAATAGAAATAATAAATATAATAAGAAATAATTTTACAAATATTTTTTATATATTTAACTTTTAAAATTTGTAAACCTTAAAATTCTTCTGAATTATTCTAATAATTCATAATTATTAAGATGTCTATTAAAATATACTTATATATCGGTATTAAAGACCTATTTATTAATAATAAACATAAAAAACAAAGAAAGTCCAAATATTAAAAAGAAATATTTTAGATTGAAAAGTATCTAGTATTATTAGAAAATCATAAATATTCAAAAAATAATTAAATATACATGACACTTAATCAATGAGTAATAAAGAAATAAATTATCTATTAAAAATTTAATAGCCAAAAATTTATATAATTATTTATATAAAAAAAAAAAATTCAAAAATGAATGGATATTAGGATTAAAACATTATTAATCTAATCCAAATGTAAAGCATTAATATATGTATTTTTTTCTAATATTCAATAAATTTTCTTTAATCTAATTATATTTAAATTGAATTATTATATATTAATGTATATTTAATTTATTTAAAATAATTATATATTTATTTAAAATAAATATATTTTATTAAAAAAATATTTAAACTTTTTTTTTATATGAATTTCTTATAAGATTACTATATTTAAAATTATTTAAAAATTTATTATTTGAAAAAAATAAAATAATATTAAAAATTAATTTAATTTAAATATTAAAATACATAAAATTTTGCTTAATTTTATAAATTTTAAATTTTAAAGAATAAAATATTAAAATTAAGTTTAATATTATATTTTTTATATAATATAACTTATAAAAAGAAAATTAAAATAATTATAATATTCAAATAAAAAAATATAAAAAATTAATGTGTATAAATATAAAAGATATATAAATAATTAATAGTATTAATATACAATATTTATAATAATATTAAATATATGTATATTTAAATTAAAAAATAAAAATATTATATTAATACAATAATAAGATAAAAATTAAAAAATTATATATATATATAACTAAGTTTTTTATATATATTTTATATTTTAAATTTTTTTATAATAATTTATATTTATATTAGCAAATTTTTTTTTTTTTATATTTTTTTTTAAAAAAAATATTAAGTTTTTTATTATATTTATTTTTTTTATTTTTAAAACTATAATATGCTTTTAAATTATAATTATTAAATTTAAATATAACTTTTTTAAAATTAAAAACCAGGTTTTTTGTAAAAAATAATATAATATTATTTTAGATAAATAAATTTTATTTTAATTTTAACTTATTGAAATTGTTAAAATATAAATAAACATATTTTAAAATAATAAGGTTATCATATATTATATTTTTTATAAAATATAACTTATTATAAATAATTTATAATTTAAATTTAAAGAATATAGATTATATTTTTTTGATTAATATTTATAATTTAAATATCATTTAAAATAAAATTATATTAATATTGAAAGCAATAAATTATAAATTTATAATTATATAAAGGTATATTAATATATAAAAAAAAAATCTTTATATTAATTTGAATTAAATAAAAAAATTAAAAAATCAAGTTAAAAATAAAAACTTATAAATCAAAAGTAAGCAAATATAAAAAAAAATATATTTTTTTATTATAATAATAATTAATATTTTATATTTATATATAATAATAATAAAAGAATAATAAAGAAAAAAATAGAAGAATTAAAAAATAAAATTATATTTAAAAAATATTAGTAATAATAATAATAATAATAATAATAATAATAATAATAATATT